AGGTGCTGGGAGGGAGTGGGAGCGTGGATGATGGGACGCGGGGCTGCAGGGTGGAGGGAGGAAGTGCTGGGAGGCAGTGGACGGAGCACATTCAATCTTCAGAATTCCTACGCGTGGGTCACTTCCTCTCCTGCACACAGTAGGCGCCCTGCACACAGATGATGAATAGATTCACGGGGTCCGAGGAGGAAGCTTCTCTGAGGGGAGGAGATGGATGGGGAAGTTATATCATTCACAACGACTCTGCCACATCCCAGCAAACCCAGGCCCAGTGTCCCCAGGGTCAGCCCAGGAGGGCATCCGAATCCTGGTAGAAACAGGGGCTGGTGTTTGCCGAGGGCTCTCCATGTGCTGGGCACGGTTCTGAGAACACTCACCCCCCAGGACCCCATGGAGACAGTAACACTCATCCCCCAGGGCACCGGTGAGGCCTGGAGAGGGTCACGTGCCTGGTCAGTGTGCAGAGGGGTCTGAGCTCAGAGGTCAGCAAATTGTCTGGAGTGACCCACAGGGTCAGTGTCGGGGCCCTGAGAGTGGCCGACGGCATTTGGAGGAGGGGAGACAGGTCTTCCAAGCCCAGGTGCAGGTCCAAGGGCCCAGGGTCTCCACACACCCAAGCCTCCGGGGCGTGCCGCCACCTCGCAGGGCCCCCAGCTCTCCCCACTGAAAGGGAACGATGAAATGACAGTCCAAGAGAGAACGGAGGTGCCGTCCGCTGCAGTGTAAGGCTTGGGGCTGTGGGCGGTGGACCTCTTGGCGGGATGCTAGGGGCCCCACTCTCATCTCCTCGGAGGTGCAGTTCCCACTCCAGCAAGTGCAGAGGGAACCTCAGTCCAAGTTCATACGTAAAGAAGCTCGGTTCTCCTCAGAGGTGCGGTCCCCACTCCAGCAGGTGCAGCGGGAACCTCAGTCCAAGTTGATACGTAAAGAAGCTCGGTTCTCATAGCTCTGCTCTCCCACAGGGATCCCACCCTCCCGCCAGCCCCAGCAGCCCTGTAAGAAGAGCGCGGGGCAGACTCCACAGCTCCATGACCCAGAGCAGGAAACTGAGGCTCAGAGGGGCCTCTCAGAGCTTGCTGGGGTAGAGGCCAGACTTGCCTGATCCCAGGAGCCCAGGATGCCCGGCCGAGGGCAGCATGACATCCTCTAACCTAGAAGTTAATGGGCACAGGCTTGAGGCCTCCTCCATCCCTTAGCTGTGATTCTGTTCAACTCCTGAGCAAGTGTCAGAGACGGTGGGAACATTCTGGATCCCAGGGGTCCCGCATCGGGGTGGGGCCGCCACTCCACGCACAGCCTGACCTCCCCCAGCTCTGGAAAGTGGCTGGCCAGGACTCACTGCTGCGAGGCGCTTCTGGGGGAACACCCCTCCCATTTCCACCAAGAGGGGCCTGGTGTGCCGCGCTTGCCGTAATTACAAAAGAAACCCAGGAAAGGGGAAGTGCACACAACCTATTACCTGTAATTTGATTTTGCTATTCAGCCAAATTAACAACCTATAAACATTTGCAAAATTACATGTTTTCATCCTGTGAAAAATACCAAGTGCCTCTTATGCAAATGTGCCGGGTCCTCGCGCTCTGCCGTGCCGGAGAACGGCTCCTCAGAACCCAGCGCGGGGCTTGTCAAGCCAGGCCGTGCATCGTGGATTGCAAATTAACAGGCCTCACATGCTTGTGTACAATTACATTCCCACCAGCTTTAGGCAACTGTAGACCCAGATTCCAAATAAGATGTGAGTTCACTCAACTGAAACTCGCGGTATTAGATTTATAATAAACAAAGGGAGGT